AATGTCTCACTGACAAATGCAGATTATAAAGCAAAAATGTATTTATACAAGTATTTAAGTACAAAATGAAAATTAAGTACATATGTTTAGATGGAGAGTTAACACCAATAGATGTGAGAAAATATAAATGAAATTGTTACTAACAGTAGCCGATGTAAAGATGAACTTTTTCAATTTTTATACTTTAACAGTTTAAACTTTTTCCAACAAGCACAAATATTTTTTCAATTAAAAACAAAATAAAGATAGGAGAAATGCTTCCTCCTATAAGAAATGCTTATGAATGTTAATTTTTTTTAGCTGACAGATCTGGTTTTCAAGTGGCTGTGACACTTGCTAGACATGTGACCTTGAGCATCTCCGTGTCTCCCTTTCCTCACTGATAACATGGGGACCTGTCTCACAGGTGGCTATAAAAAGAAAACGAGATCACGGACATGTAAAAAGGATTTAGCTAAGCACCTGGCACAAAGTAAGTGCTCAGTAAATGTTAGTCATTAATACTGGGTAAGGGAACATGTTTAAAATCAGGCCAGCAGATGAAAAGAAATCAGTAAACAGCAGCAGCTGCTGAATATGCCTCTTAACTTCAGCAACATTATGCAATCAGATGCTTAAAATTAGAGAATACAAAAGGTAAATATTCTTGCCTTGATGGAAGTCAAAGGACATTCTCAAAACACTATCTCTTAGCTTTCTGCTACCAACAGAAACCAATTTTGCTTCAGTAAAAACCCGTTTTTCCCGGTCAAGATATATGATTGTCCTGAAATGAGATTCAAAAGACGTAACAAATAGTTGTTGGTTAATAACATTTTCAATCATATCTTCTATCTGATGGAAAACTTGGAATATCAGGGTCCTTCATCCTGCTATTCCTCTCCTGCCTCTGCAAATCTTGGACTAAAGAGATGGAGGTGAAAGTGACAACTACTAAGGTGAAAGGAAAGAGGATAGATGGATGGAGAAAGCTGGGTCTAGGCAGACTGCCAGGTCTTGGTCTGCCACAACCTGACAAACTGAACTGTGAACTCTTCAAAGTGGCCACAGTAGAAAAAGGAGTTGGAGGAGTTGGAGGAGTAGGGGAGTAGGGGAGTAGGGGAGTAGGGGAGTAGGGGAGTGGAGGAGTAGGGGAGTAGGGGAGTAGGGGAGTGGAGGAGTAGGGGAGTAGGGGAGTGGAGGAGTAGGGGAGTAGGGGAGTGGAGGAGTAGGGGAGTAGGGGAGTAGGGGAGTAGGGGAGTAGGGGAGTAGGGGAGTAGGGGGCTGGCAGCTTGCAAGGCAACCTCTGAGGTATACACTACACTTGTGGATTCACTTTGAAAATTACGTAAATTCATATGTGAGTGTGTACATAAGTATGGGGGTGCTTTTATATCTCCAACATTTGAGGACAAGAAATGATGTGGACAGAAAGATGGCTAAGGAAAAGACAAGTAAAAACAAGTAGAAAAAGAATGGAAAGAGCTGCTGGGAATCAAACAAAAACCAGGTTAGGGGCAATGGCTCACACCTACAATCCCAGTACTTTGGGAGGCCAAGGCAGGTGGATCACTTGAACTCAGGGGTTCAAGACCAGCCTGGGCAACATGACAAAACCCTGTCTCTACAAAAAAAAAAAAAAAAAAAAAATACAAAAATTAGCCAGATGTGGTGGTATGTACCTGTAAGTCCCAGCTACTTGAGAGGCTGAGGTGGGAGAATGGCTTAAGCTCAGGAGGCAAAGGCTGCAGTGATCCAAGACTGTGCCACTGCACTCCAGCCTCAGTGACAGAGATGGACCCTAGCTCAAAAGCAAAACAAAAACAGAAACAGCCGGGCACAGTGGCTCATTCCTATGGTCCCAGCACTTTGGGAGGCTGAGGTGGGCGAATCACCTGAGGTCGGGAGTTCAAGATCAGCCTGACCAACATGGAGAAATCCCGTCTCTACTAAAAATACAAAACCAGCTGGACGTGGTAGCACACGCCTGTAATCCCAGCTACTTGGAAGTCTGAGGCAGTAGAAACACTTGAACCTGGGAGGCAGAAGTTGCAGTGAGCCAAGATCACACCATTGCACTCCAGCCTGGGCAATAAGAGCAAAACTCCATCTCTAAAAAATACAACAGAAAAAAGTAGAAATACGACTATCGTACGATAAAGGCAATCATGTCCAACACCCCACAACTTCTCAGGTTCACAAAATTCAACACGTGTAAGCTATATTTGACAGATTCGTAGGAATGGTATAATCTGAGAAGCTGGTGAGGCAAACAGTGCACAGAGCAGCAGGTTTCACCTACTTGTTTGCAGCTGATTCTAAAAGGGCAAAGAGCTGGTCAGGCTGGTCTGTTTTTGGGTCAAAGTCCATCGAATTTCTAATCATGTCTAGAGCCTGCATATTCCATCGGGGGTCCAGAGGGATCACAAATTCATCTGGTTTAAAAACAAAACAAAACAACAATCAGAAATACTGGAGTTGAACTTCTTGCCTGACAAGTTTCAGTTGAATATTTTCATTGTTTTACTTTGAGAACACTGAGTCCTGATGAGGAAGAGGTTAAACCAGTAAATACCATGAGCTTTATCCCATGATACTAGAACAGCAGGGTTTAATAGCTTTTACATTCTTTCTTTTCCAAATACAAAGTATCTCTATGTACTGAAAGTCCATCCCAATGCAGGATATAAAGGTAATCCCTACTAAAATACAACAATCCAACCAATGAATTCACTTCCTGAGATCACACTAATCCACAGGCTAAATTACAGTGGTCACCATCAGCTTAAAAAAAAAAAAGTTACTTACATGGCAGAAAATGAATGAATACATCTCACTATCTGTTTTCATTACGAAAACAATCCTTTTTTTTTTTTTTTTTTTTTGAGACAGAGTTTCGCTCTTGTTGTCCAGGCTGGGGTGTAATGGTGTGATTTCAGCTCACTACAGCCTCCACCTTCAGGGTTCAAGCCATTTTCCTGCCTCGGCCTCCCGAATAGTTGAGATTACAGGCACCCACCACCACGCCCAGCTAATTTTTGGTATTTTTAGTAGAGATGGGGTTTCGCCATGTTAGGCAGGCTGGTCTCGAACTCCTGGCCTAGGGTTATCCGCCTACCACAGCCTCACAAAGTGCTGGGATTACAGGTATTTCCCACCATGCCCGGCCAACAATGCCGTTTTTTAAACTTAAAAACAATTCATCTATAATCAGAGTGTGTTGCTGATGCCCCACAATCCTCTGGCTCACACCTGATACAACTTCTGTGAAACAGCAGGAGACTGACACTTTCCAGAAGTTGCGAAAACCCAAGGGTGGGAGACAAGACACCAAAAAGGGTAACATTAATTTGAAGGTGGCTGGCAGGATGGTTCAGTGGAGCACTTTAAGTTTAAAAGTATCCACCATATAGTGGACAACCCAGACTACTCAGGACATAGTGTGAACAGCAGGTAAAGAAGGAAACCATTTCCAACTCCCAGAAAGATAAAAAGGCTACACAATTGAAAAAGATGGTTAGAGCTAATGTGTTACAACAGAGGACAAGTAATTCCTGCTGAAAATGAAAGCTGCTACTGTAAAACTGTGCTTGTGAAGATAACAATCCTCATAGTGGAAAGCCATGACTTAGTTCAGCCACAACTTGACTCGAAAAGTATTTTTCTCTATTGCTTGATTTCTTCTCATTCACTCCATGATCTTTAGTGTACATAAAGGAATTATTCAGCACAGAAGCATCATGCATATTTTTTTTCCAAACCAAATGGACAATGGTATATTTTGATCTACATCAAATGAAGATAGAGGTGGAAAATTTTAAATGTGGTGGTATGAAAATGCCCATTTTCTTCATTAAAGCTTCTGTCAATCAAGTTTATATTACTCTGTTTTAGGAAATGTTTATTCTCATTCCCTATTTTAAAAAATAAATCTTGAATACTTTCTTTGATCAGATAGCTTAGATGGCTATTTGTTATCACTATGGTTTTATAACTTCGTCATCAAGGCTTTTCCGGAGACAGGGTTTGGCTCTGTCCCCCAGGCTAGAATGCAGTGGCACTTCACAGCGCATTTGCAGCCTCAAATTCCTGGACTCAAGCAATCCTCCTATCTCAACCTGCCAAGTAGCTGGACCACAGCTATAAGCCACCGCATCTATGATTAAGGTTTTATATTTTCCTAAGTTAACTGATCCTGTGTAACTTTCCTTTAAGTCAAATACCTCGTGGTTTGAAACCCTACTAACAGAGCTGGCAAACAACACAAAGTTAAGAGTGGAAGGGACCTCAGAGAAATAAGAGCTTAATTCCCCTGGTTTCTAAACACAAGCAGAGACAGCGAATGATGAGCCAAAGATCTACCAAGCCAGTTTGTGGCAGAGTTGGTATCAGGGCCCAGTGTTGCAACTCTCAGATTCTTTTCACTCCATGGCACATCATCAGCCTCCTTCAGAAGCTGAAGGGTAAATGGATAGCTTTAGGTAAAGCATGGTGGCTCAAGCCTCTAGTCCTAGCACTTTGGGAGGCCAAAGCAAGAGGATCGTTTGAAGCCAGGATATAAAGACCAGCCTGAGCAACTTAATGAGCGCCTGTCTCTTTAAAAAAAAAAAGAGGCCAGGTGCATTAGCTCTTGCCTGAAATCCCAGTACTTTGGGAGACAAAGGCAGGTGGATCACCTGAGGTCAGGAGTTCAAAGACCAGCCTGACTAACATGGAAAGACCCCATCTGTACTAAAAATACAAAAATTAGCCAGGTGTGGTAGCACACGCCTGTAATCCCAGCTACTTGGGAGGCTGAAGCAGGAGAATCACCTGAACCTGGGAGGCAGAAGTTGTGGTGAGCCGAGATCACACCATTTCACTCCAGCCTGGGCAACAAAAGCAAAACTCCGTCTCAGAAAAAACAAACAAACAAAAAAAAGGAGTTAAAAAAAAAAAAGAGTGTTGGAGCAGCTGCCGCCGGGTCCAGATCCCACTGCTGTGTGCCCCCAACGCCCGCCCGACGTGCATTCCTGGTTCCTTTTGGTTCCAAGTCCAAAATGGCAAGTCTCAAGGATCAGCTGATTCATAATCTTCTAAAGGAAGAACAGACCCCCCAGAATAAGATTACAGTTGTTGGGGTTGGTGCTGTTGGTATGGCCTGTGCCATCAGTATCTTAATGAAGGACTTGGCAAATGAACTTGCTCTTGTTGATGTCGTTGAAGACAAATTGAAGGGAGAGATGATGGATCTCCAGCATGGCAGCCTTTTCCTTAGAACACCAAAGATTGTCTCTGGCAAAGACTATAATGTAACTGCAATCTCCAAGGTGGTCATTACTATGGCTGGGACACGTCAGCATGAGGGAGAAAGCCGTCTTAATTTTGTCCAGTGTAACGTGAACATCTTTAAATTTATCATTCCTAATGTTGTAAAATACAGCCCGAACTGCAAGTTGCTTATTGTTTCAAATCCAGTGGATATCTTGACCTATGTGGCTTGGAAGATAAGTGGCTTTCCCAAAAACCGTGTTATTGGAAGTGGTTGCAATCTGGATTCAGCCCGATTGTTACCTGATGGGGGAAAGGCTGGGAGTTCACCCATTAAGCTGTCATGGGTGGGTCCTTGGTGAACATGGAGATTCCAGTGTGCCTGTATGAAGTGGAGTGAATGTTGCTGGTGTCTCCCTGAAGACTCTGCATCCAGATTTAGGGACTGATACAGATAAGGAACAGTGGAAAGAGGTTCACAAGCAGGTGGTTGAGAGTGCTTACGAGGTGATCAAACTCAAAGGCTACACATCCTGGGCCATTGGACTCTCTGTGGCAGATTTGGCAGAGACTATAATGAAGAATCTTAGGTGGGTGCACCCAATTTCCACCATGATTAAGGGTCTCTATGGAATAAAGGATGATGTCTTCCTTAGTGTTCCTTGCATTTTGGGACAGAATGGAATCTCAGACGTTGTGAAGGTGACTCTGACTCCTGAGGAAGAGGCCCGTTTGAAGAAGAGTGCGGATACACTTTGGGGGATCCAAAAAGAGCTGCAATTTTAAAGTCTTCTGATGTCATACCATTTCACTGTCTAGGCTACAACAGGATTTTAGGAGGTTGTGCATGTTGTCCTTTTTATCTGATCTGTGATTAAAGCAGTAATATTTTAAGATGGACTGGGAAAAACAGCAATTCCAGAAGTTAGAAATAGGAATGGTTTGTAAAGTCCTACAGCTATATTCTGATGCTGGATGGTGGTAACTTTGTGTAGTCCTAAACTGGTTAGTGTGAAATAGTCTGCCATCTCTGAGGCACCACTGCCAATGCTGCACACGCTGTAGTTGCCCCTTGAGCCAGAGAGATGTTCATTTGTTATGTAACTTCCTGGCTCCTTCACTGAACATGCCTAGTCCAACATTTTTTCCCAGTTACATCCTGGCATTCAGTGTATAGATCCAATATCACATGTCTTGTTCCAAAGGATCTTATTTCGTGAACTATATATATCAGTAGTGTATATTACCATACAATGTAAAAAGATCTACATATAAACAATGCAACCAACTATCTAAGTGTTAACACCAACTAAAATCCCCAATAAACCTTGAACAGTGAAAGAAAAAAAAAAAAAAGAGGGAGAATTTGCTTCTGCACATCATGAGTCTTCTTTAAAAATACTGTTATGTTGAGACCTCTAACAGGTTAGATCTTTTTCCTGGGAACTCAAAACGTAAGTTTCCTAAACAGTGCTAAGAGCTAGAAATCAAAAGTGCATACCTGATGTATTTGGTTGTAATATTTTGAAAACATTACTGACTGCAGCTGAGAGGGAATGTGAGTAAAAATTCCTGAGAGATGAAGCACTAGCTTCCAAATGAATCTGTATGGACTCTGTGGAGGAAGGAGAAAACAACGTTAGACTCTAAAGCAGTGCTATCGAACTGAACGTTCTGCAATGATGAAAATGTTCTATAGCTGTATAAAATAACCACTAGTCACATAAGAGGACTTGAAATGGGGCCAGTGCAACTAAAGGGCTGGATTTTTAAAATCTAATTTATATTTATATTTTAGTAGCTCTCTGTGGCTGGCTAGTGGCTATCATAAAGGACAACGCAGATAAAATATTTATAATTCTCTCTACACATGTTTAGGTAGATGACCACATTTCACAAAATAATATAAATATCCACTGGCTTACTGACAAATTCTCACGGAGTAGAAAGGTTCATGTAAACACAATTACTTAATCTCCACCAACAAACTCCATATTCTGTGCTTTACACTTCAAGCAATGTTGTGATTGCTTTGTCCTCTCTTAAAACGAAAGAACTACAGAAAGAGTACAGGTGGCCCTCCATATCTGAGGGTTCCACATCTGTGGAATTCAACCAACTGCAGATCAAAAATTTAAAAAATTAGGCCGGGCGCGGTGGCTCAAGCTTGTAATCCCAGCACTTTGGGAGGCCGAGGCGGGTGGATCACGTGGTCGACAGATCAAGACCATCCTGGTCAACATGGTGAAACCCCGTCTCTACCAAAAATACAAAAATTAGCTGGGCATGGTGGTGCGTGCCTGTAATCCCAGCTACTCAGGAGGCTGAGGCAGGAGAATTGCCTGAACCCAGGAGGCGGAGGTTGCGGTGAGCCGAGATCGCGCCATTGCACTCCAGCCTGGGTAACAAGAGCGAAACTCCGCCTAAAAAAAAAAAAAAAAAAAAAAAATTTAAAAAATTAAAAAAAATAAAAGTACTACAACAATAATATCAATTTTTCAACAACATACTACAACAACTTTTTTTTTTTTTTGGAAAGGAGTTTCACTCTTGTTGCCCAGGCTGTAGTACAGTGGTGCAGTCTCGGCTCACTGCAACCTCCACCTCCTGGGTTCAAGCGATTTTCCTGCCTCAGCCTCCCCAGTAGCTGGGATTACAGGCATGCACCAAGATGCCCAGCTAATTTTGTATTTTTAGTAGAGACGGGGTTTCTCCACGTTGGTCAGGCTGGTCTTGAACGCCTGACTTCAGGTGATCCAACCACCTCGGCCTCTCAAAGTTCTGGGATTACAAGTGTGAGCCACCACACCAGGCCTGCAACAACTATTTACATAGCATTTACATTGTATTAGGTATTATAAGTAATCCAGAGATGATTTAATGCATACAGGGGATGTGTGTAAGGTGTATGAAAATACTATCCCATTTCACATAAGGGGCCTTAGCATCCATGTATGTTGGTGTTCCCGCGTTGGTGGGGGAGGGAGAGACCTCGTATCAATCCCCCACAGATACCAAGGGACAATTCTAAGTATGACAAAATATAGCACTGGAACTAAAATAAGATTAGAATCTTACATACTTTTAGAGGGAATGAATTTATCAAAATTAATACATTTCCCAGATAGAATGATTCTGCAACAGTAGTACAGCACAAAAAGCAGACGTTAAAAACTGAAAACTAAAATAACATAGTATGCTCTCCTTTTGAATGTGTTAGAAAGGTGAATATGTCCTGAAATGCTAAGGATATCATGGAAACAAAAGTTTATCTTGTGACACATCCACATGCAGACTTGCTCCTAAACAGCAACGCTAGATCACAAATTACCTAGGATACCACCCAACTGTAATTTTAACGGTGTGGTCACACATTAACACAGCTCCTGAGGCACTTAAATAGCATAAGTGTATATAAATCACATCACTGGACAAATTAAGTTGTTCTACTCACCAAGCCCCTGTGGTATATTCTTGGCTAAATGATAAAGCCATTTAACTCTGAGCATCCAATCCTGATTCGTTGCTCTTTCTATGAGCAATTTAACAGCCATGGCCAAAACATCTGGTTCATCGATCCAGTAAGTATCTACTTCAACTGCATTGAATTTCAGGTTCTCAGGGTTGGAGGACTGCATAATTTTCTCTAAGTCTTGCAAGGTAAGAGGCTGACTCCTGAAATTCATTTGAATGAACAAACTCAGTACTAGAATAACCTTTTATTTCACATTCCAAATAACTGAGAAAATCCTTTCACAAATGGATGAACGATAAGGAGGAAAGATGAGTCCCCCACAGAGAGACAATCTAAACGTACCTAATCAATAACAAATAGGGAGCAATATCACAAAGAACAAAACTATGACCACTGCATAATAAATGGCCACAGAATGCTCCACTTAAATATATTGTGTCCTGACCATTTCCAGCAAGAGCAAAAATCAGCCAAGAAACCAAAGACAAAAGCTGAAGGCTCCACCGACCTTGCCCAGCTGCTGGTTTTCATGCTCATCCTGTTGAGACAATATGCTAAGATCTGTCCATCACTTCGGACTGTAGACAGGTGAGAATCTTCAGTAGCAAAGAGAGCTGAGGGCACAGAATCTGGCCACAGTCCCATGGCAAGAATGGAGTCTCCCCAGGTTTCATGTGCTCGAAGAGAAGAAACATGTTTCTCCAGTAAAACCTGTACAAGCTGTTAGGAGATGAAAACACAGCACAGTGGTACCAACATAAAAGTGATACTCCCCAAAAGAAACAGCAAATAAAGTATTAAGAGTTCATGTGACCACCTCACAACAACTCTTAATAAATTCTTCAATGAAAAACACAAGTTAAATTCTACGTTTGCTGATGACAGATAAGTTTCAAAAAGGATTATTTTACATTCAAGCTATTTTCCAACAAAGTACCTGGATACCAGATCTCTATTAGAGCAAACTGCAGTGGTCAACTCTTTGAGGCCACTGGGGTGCCATCTTTAAAAATAATTTCCTTGTACTCAATAACGTAGGGTATCGCAACTCAGAAACTTTCTGAAATACTTCATAGTACCTTCCGGTTTGCTGGTGAATGCTGGGAACAGACATATACTTCCCAGCATGCTTCAGAAAAGGCTCTGTCTAAACTCAGCCCTCGCTGCAGGTACTGGACAATTAGTATGGCTGTCTGGATTAGAGTTGATACAGAAGATGTTGGAGAACCTATTAAAAAAAAAATTGCCATCTATAAACAATAGTCTTTAAAATCTCCAATGAAAATGGATAAATTCTACCCTCCCATCAAACCTCCTTCCACTTAGCCCCACCCAGATACTTATTTTAGAAAACCTTCTAAATAGACTCTAGCGTCCCCCAAAGGCACAATGGACCTGTAGGAACCTTTCTGGCTAACTGCAGTTTACTATGGGGGACTCATTTACAGATGTGATAAAGCCTGGTCATGTATACCCTTAATCTAATGCTGACACACACTGAAGGTGACAAGTTGAGTGTAACCTCATAAAAGACCATGGGATTTGAAATCCTACAAACCTATTTGCAAACTCCAGCCATTATTCTTAACTGATAAATAACCAAACTCTCTTAGTCTTATCTGGAAAATGAAAGCATATGCCTAGCAGAACTAATGTAACGACTAAATAAGCAATCTGCATGGGACCTAACAGAGTAGTTACCAACAAGCAATACTTCATTTATTATCTTGCTCCTTTTTGTATAATTGAAGATTTAGAAAAAGTCACACCTGTCTGCTTTAAACAATCAAAGTTTCCTCTTTATTCCAACTTGGAGAGGCTGTTAATAACTGGGAGAAATGATGGGGGCAAACTTCATAAACCTCAGTGCCTAAAGCAGAATTACTCAGGGGTTAGCCTCTGCTTACATGCATCAGAATGGCACAGAAAGCATCTTTCAGATACTGATTCCTGTGCCTCGCCCTGACCTGTTACCTGCTGAACCCAATCTCTTGGGGTTGGTTTTTTTTTTTTTTTTTTTTTTTGAGATGGAGTCTTGCTCTATTACCAGGCTAGAGTACAGTGGCACAATCTAGGCTCAATGCAACCTCTACCTCCCAGATTCAAGCAATTCTCCTGCCTCAGCTTCCCAAGGAGCTGGGACTACAGGCGTACGCCACCATATCCAGCTAATTTTTGTATTTTTAGTAGAGACAGGGTTTCATCATGTTGGCCAGGATGGTTTCAATCTCTTGACCTCGTGATCCGCCCGCATAGGCCTCCCAAAGTGCTGGGATTACAGGTGTGAGCCACCAAGCCTGGCCAATTCTTAGGGTCTTAGATTTAGTGTATATAGAGAGAAATTATCAGGAAATTCACATTTTAACAAGCTTTCCTGATAATTTCTATCTGTATACACTAAATGTAAGAAATCTTTGACTAATAG